CCAATTAGCTGAGTGATCTTACACAGTCATTCAACTCTGATGAATTTCAAATTCCTAATATATGAAAAAGAAATAATAATGCTACATAAATATGATGATAGAATTCAGTTAGATTGAAATAAAGGATTTAACACATGCTAAGCACATAAGGGCTAACTAAATAATATTTTATTATTTCATAGAGTAGAGATAATTTAAGCTTTCTTGAATAACCAGGAAAGTTTTTGGGTATTTTGTTTTGTTTTGTTTTTTTGTTTCATTTATGACAAAATTGGAATGAATACACTAATGTAGAAAACTCTTTAGTTACCCTATATTTATACACTTTGAAATTTTAAATCCCTAGAAAGTATAAAATCCTTTAAAAATTTGTCTGCTTTTTCCTGTAAAGTAAGTCCTTATTCTCACTGTCTTTAGTTTTCATCCATTTTAACAAAAGCAAATATACTAAACATTCTCCACAGTATCTATGTAATATTTATAAAAGCTCTTAATTTGTGTTTTTATGCGCATGATTGTTTCAGTTTAAAAAAATGCCCATAGCAACCATGCATGTAGAGAAACAATTTTCTGTGCATAAATGTGTATATTCAACAATTCTGCTCCATCTGCAAGTACAGAAAGAGTATCCATTCATACTAAGAGCAAGAGCTAGACATGGCTTGAAGAAGCTGGATAGGCAAAATATACAAAATAATATGCACAAACCCAGCTACAGAAATCAATCTCTAATTAAGAAAAAGAAATAGAAGCCAATATGTTTAATTGCCCAACCAGAGGAAAACCCATTACACTTCAATATTCCATAGAATATCATCTTTTTAATACTTTTGAATCTTAACAATAAGTATGCTCTCTCTAAATTCATTAAAAATGTAGCACCAGAAAGGATGTATAATGTTGAGGCATTTTCTACCAAAAATATCCAATGTCTTTGGGCAATAATGATATTCTATGATGTAAAAATATTTGATAAACATTGGTAAGATATCTTTTGAAAATTAAAGTTTGAATGTAATGATGCATTTTCTAATTTTTAATTAAAGATGGGAGTTACAATTATTTTTAAAGTAAAATTTTAACCACCTATCATGTGCCAGTATTACAATAGTACTAATGATAAGGAATCAAAGACACACACACACACACACACACACACAAACAGCTTAAACTCCAGGACAGAAGATAGGCTTAGGGGCCGAATCCCTGGCGCACTCGGGAGGGTGCAGCGCTGGGAGTGCAGCAGGGCTCCCACCGCGGGTTCGGATCCTATATAGGGATGACCGGTGCGCTCAAAGCTCTCACTGGCTGAGCGCGGTGCAGCCGGTCTCAAAAAACGACAAAAAAAAAAAAGAAGATAGGCTTGGAAAAAATTATACATTGTGTTTTAGTCAGGATTCTCCACAGAAGCAGAACCAATATAATCTCTGTTAGATCAGTGAGTCAAGCAGAATAAGAAACTATGAGCCAATCATTACCAAGCAAGAGAGTTTACTCCAGTGAACATGGAGGGGAAACTGAGAGATCAGTGCTCTGCCCTCACACAGACTAGCAGAGGCTTTGTAGGGTTTTTCTGGGAGGGTTTGAGCAGCTATTCTGAGCACTGAGCATTCTGTAATGGCTTTGCAGGTTTTTTTGCTTTGTACAAGATGTTTTTATTTATTTATTACATTTTACATTTTTATTTTATCAATATACAATGTATTCGATTTTCCTGACCCTTTACTGATTCCTGCCTCCCCCTCCCTCTCCCCATTCCCACCCATCACCATCATATCTGGTCATTTGTCTTAACAAGTTCAAGGAATTGTGATTGTTGTGTCTTCTTCCCCGCCCCGCCCCTGTTTGTTTGTGTATTTATGTATTTATTTTTAGCTCCCACAAATAAGTGAGAACATGAAGTATTTCTTTCTGTGCCCGACTTATTTCACTTAATATAATTTTTTCTAAGTCCATCCATGTGGCCACAAATGGTAGTATTTCATTATTTTTTATAGCAGAGTAGAATTCCATTGTGTAGATAGACCACATTTTCTGTATACATCTACAGCCATCTGACCTTTGACAAAGGCACCAACTCTACACACTAGGGAAGAGACTGCCTCTTTAGCAAATGGTGCTGGGAAAACTGGATATCCATGTGCAGGAGAATGAAACTGGACCCATACCACTCACCATATACCAAAGCCAACTCAAAATGGATTAAAGAATTAAATATACACCCTGAAACAATAAAACTTCTTAAAGAAAACATAGGAGAAACAATCCAGGAAGTAGGACTGGGCACAGACTTCATGAATATGGCCCCAAATGCACAGGCAACCAAAGGAAAAATAAACAAATGGGATTATATCAAACTAAAAAGCTTCTGCACAGCAAAAGAAACAATTAACAGAGTTTAAAGACAAACAACAGAGTGGGAGAAAATATTTGCAAAATATGCATCTGATAAAGGATTAATATCCAGAATATAAAAGGAAATCAAACAACTTTACAGCAAAAATCAAGTAACCCAATTAAAAAATGGACAAAGGAGCTGAATAGGCATTTCTCCAAAGAAGATATACGAATGGCCAACAGACACATAAAAAAATGCTCAACATCACTCGGCATTTGGGAAATGCAAATCAAAATGGCTTTGAGATACCACCTCACTCCAGCTAGGATGGCTAATATTCAAAAGACTGAGAATGATAAATGCTGGCGAGGTTGCGGAGAAAAAGGAACTCTCCTACACTGTTGGTGGGACTGCAAAATGATGCAGACTTTATGGAAAATGGTTTGGAGGTTCCTCAAACAATTACAGATGGATCTACCATATGACCCAGTTATTCCACTGCTAGGAATATACCTAGAGGAATGGAAATCATCATGTCAAAGGGATACCTGTACCCCAGTGTTTATTGCAGCTCTATTTACAATTGCCAAGAGCTGGAACCAGTCCAGATGTCCATCATCATACAAGTTGTTTTTATCAGAATGCACTAGCCTGAGAGAAAGGGAGTAGGCAGGGGGACAGGGTGAGTTGTACCAAGTGTTCTTTTCAGAACATACCAGCCGTGAGAGAAAGGGGGTGGGGTTTAGGGACAGGGTTAGGGAGTAGCAGATGTTCTTATGTTAAGCTGACTGTGAGGCCTAATATTCTTCCCTTTTAATATAATTATATAAAATAAGGGAGTAGGTGGTTGGGGGGATTATCTTTGCTTCTGTATATACTTGGGGCTGATTAGGGATGCCAAACATTAGGGGGTGTTTGGGGTACCTGATGGTAATCATTGTTATTGGATGGTTTGAAGTGTGAGGACTGTCATGACCTGTTGGACAGCAATGGATTCCGTGGTCCTTCGGATGAAACTGATGAGCATTCAAAATAAAAAAAGGTCCATTCGTTAAGCCTAGAACTAGAAGCAGACGGGGAGTTAAAAAAAGGGTTAGAAATGAGGCCCATTGGGGCCATTGGGACCAGGATGTTTCCTTTGTTTGTTGAATTTGAGATGCCCTGCCACGTAGTTTGGTTTTTTGTTTGTTTGTTTTTACTGCATCTCAGACATTTCTGGGCTGGTTAACATAAGAACAACGTTCTTCCTCTAGGAAGAGACAGGTACCTCCTTTTTCTGCAGTTAGGATATCCAGGGCTTGTGTATTTTGAAGAACCACTGCTGCCGGTAAATCTATTTGATTTTGAAGGGTGGTATGGGTGGAGGCCATTTTATCTAGAGAGCCAGAGAGGACTTTTGACAGTTGTTGGAAATAAGTTGTGGCAATGGCAACACTAGCTATTCCTGTCCTTAGAGCTGTGGAAATTCCTAGGGTAGACAGTAAGAGAATTAGGAATGGGACAGTCCATTT